CCCTTCTCTGGCTAATAGATACTGCCTGGCCGATTTGACACTGTCTTTTTGCCACCGAAAGGGATGTGCTTGGAGATTACATCTGGCCATGGCCGGACTACTTTGGTGGACTCTTGGATTGGATTTTTTTTCTCATTGGCCCACAACACTAAGATTATTATTCCTGCCTACACCGACAAGATTTCTATGTACATGTGTGACTGTAGCTACATCACATTTCGAATCCGTTCAACAGTTCTGTGGAACATACGTCAGCACGGATTTGTAACAAGCCTCAGTAGACCCAGTCTGTCTAACTCTAGTAACATCTGAAACTCTGCGCGCATGGTGCTCAGGCTGTCGTCGCTCTGTTCGTGTGAGAGGTGAGGCCACATGGACTGGGCCAAGTGGAAGTCCACGGGCCGCCCTTGTTTGTCCTCCGTGAAGGGCCAGAACCCGAACACTGTGACCTTGGTACACAGAGACAGCGCCGAACTCACCATGTAGAAACCTGCAGTAATAGAAAATGTCGTAAGAGGTCTCTGCCGTCACGTGTAACACATTATTGCGACACTTAGATTTGATATTCTAAATGATACGCTAAGTTGCTTTTCCTATTGGATCACACAGTAAGTCACATGTCTCGAGCATTGATGTCTCTGACTTAGGGGTACTGTGAGAGCATCTCTTCTCGCCAACTTACTAGTAGTTCAGCGCCTTAAATGTAGAAGTGGTCTCTTAGCTTAATATGTACGGACGAAATTCGCTAAATGATGAAATGTAAGACATAGCCAAGAGATCTTATCTGTCGTATTCTTGTCGCTACGTCACAGCGCTACAGTAACCAGTAAGCACCCAAGAAGGTACCGAAAGGTTACCAAAGCACCGTCAAAACTCGGCAGATACACACAATGTCTTAATAAAGAGCCCAGCATAAGTTTCTAGCTTTTATTACCGTTTGACATGGTCCTCTCCAGCCCTGCCCTGTGCCAGTACTCCACGGTGGCGTTCCTGTGCAGGGGATGTCCCAGCACCACGGTCGGCCTCAGCCCCTGCTGATGGACGGTTCTCTGCAGGTCCAACTGCCGCTGGGTGTGCTCCCGTCTGCCGAACGGCGCGGTCAGGATCAGCACAGGGCCGTAACGACTGTTGGTGACGTAGTTCTGGAAGGCTTGTTTCCAACGTGGTTCTCCCAGGTTTAGAAATCTAAGGAAGACACACACGAATGCGGAATTAGGGCTAGAAAGTCGACACAACTTGCAAAACAGTGATACCAAAGTGTACCTTTTATTATATGTTACTGGTTGTGTGTTTTGGAAAGAAACATTACTTGAACATACAGGCCAGGCATATGCTGTTAGTTATGAAAGCAACGTCTCTCCAAGTACTTTTCCATGCTCTATTTAGATATTCCCCCTATTCTTAACTGCTAGCATAGAGTCATTAGAGATGCAGGTTTACTTTTTGTTGAGTGTGACGTCATCACACGTGACGAGATGAGTTTTGACTCCCGTGTCGTCTGTGAACTTGGGCACGGTCGGGAACAAGTTCAACCTACAGAAGATAAGGTAACAGCCTTCAATTAATTCTGGACTTCCAGTTTAATTCCGAACTAATTCCCATTCTGCAGAATTCTGAACTGGAACCAGAATGGACCTATACCATTATTACGTCACAGTTTGTTTACCTGTTCTAAAGAACATTCTAGAATGGTCAGTTAAAGAATAAAGATCATTTCAAAGTTTTCAAAGTAAGGTATGTCTGATTTTTGCTGCGTCTAGTTGTGTTGACACAGCATTACATGCCGCATGGGTGATTTAGTTGTGACGTTAGACGAAAGTGGTACTGTATTAAAAGCCTTATATTAGGCTAACGCTACACAAACACACACCGCGCTACGCACCCCTGTACAATATAAACGTCGATTGACCGGCAGAATTAAACTGGAGGCTGTTAGGTACACATATCACGTAAGCCCCTGTCACACGTGGCTGAATATATCCCAAACGCTAGCTGAACTAGAATTTACCAACACAGATGAGCTTTCATGCTGACACTATAGTTTTTCTCGTGCTCGATATGATTTACCTGAAGATGAAGTCTGCCCCGTCTATCTGAGGCCCACAGCCGCTGTCCTTCAGGATGCCGCTGTTCCCCACCACACTACAGCGGTTAAATATGTCTGTTCCTGCCGCTATACTCTGTCAGTGGGATCAAGGATATGCTAAATCAATTAAGGTTATAACGTCATGATTAGATATCCAGGTAATGCGATACGTATATTTAGCTACAAGAAAATTCTTACTCAAGCAACTGGATGGGTTTTGAAAACTGTCAGACGTTTCAAGTAGCATCCACTACTTTTGTCGTACCTTTATGTAATTCTAACTACACAATATATATAATCACCATTTTGTAACCCTACTTACAGACGGTTGCAGTGAGTACAATGTTTTGTCGATGTTGTAGCCACCTCGGCCCCTGTAGTACGGTATGCGGTCGCCAGGGCGCGTGTTTGACTGTGTAAGAATGAATATCTCCGCCGTGTGAACTTGACTGCTCAGTTGATTTCTGAAACACAAGCAGACAAACTTTTTTATCACACGATCTTAATTTTCGCGTTGTACATAGCTAGAAACAGCCCACGATAGGAAAAAAGCAACCGTTTTCCATCGGCAATATCGTATTTTTACTTAACAGATATCAGTATGTTATGGGATAGGGTTCATTCAACTTACTAAAGAAAATTGACTTTGAAAATCTAGTTTTACTACTCTAAAATTGCTATGGGTTCCTATACGCCATACCTGAAGACTTGTATCGCTGGAGAGTTGAACGTGTGACGTGTGGGTGTCAGTCTGTCCACGGAATCTATGACGTCCCTGTTCGTTCTTGTGTGGTTTACAGAGTGGGCTAGCAGAGCGGCGAGCTCCGACCTGTTGTAGAAATACATTTTGGTACAAGAACAGCTTTTTTAGGATCGTTACGAATATAGCCTCCCCAAAACACTGTAAGGAACTCCAAATCCTACGTTTCGTAAATTTCATCGCAGGCGACTGAAGTTTTGTTGACAAGCTCTCCAGAAAAGAAACGGTTCTTCAGTAGTTAGGTACACGTAACTTTGTGAATAACGTGTCATCCATGTTAGTTTTATACTCCTCTCTCCCAGTTCAACCAGGAGCATAGGAGTCCTATTCACTATTCAAATAAACGTGGATGGCTTCTCCTATTCCTCAAATGCTTCTTGTTTTAGAGATCAAGAAGTGTAAATAATAATGTAGAATGAGCACACAATGTACAACTCACGGTGGTCCGAAGTCCTTTTGTGAGGAGTCGATAACAATCTTGACCCTGACGTCGCCTCCGGTCAGAGTGTACCTCAGACTCGTGGTTACCAGGAACAGTAGGAAGGAAAGCAGCGCCAGTCGCAGGGTCTTTATCTTCGGCGACATTGTAGCGTTACCTGTAGGAAAAGCGTTAAAAAAACATAGTAAGACTCTACCGCATTCATGTCCATGGCCATAACACCAATGTGCTACCATCATCTCTATCTTTCGAAATTGAAGGATGCACTGTGCTGCCTGATTATTACCTTCGCCAAGAAGGTTATGTTTTCGTAGGCGTTCGTGTGTGTGTCTGTCTGTCTGTCTGTAAACACGATAACTTGAGAAGGCTTAAATGGATTGACTTCATATTTGGTAGGTGGGTAGGTCTTGATGAGACCTCGAAATGATTAGATTTTGGGCCCCCTGGCGGCTTCTTATGGTACTGCAGCTGAACTTCCGGTTTTGATATCTCGTGATCCAGACAAGCCAGGGTTATGAAATTTGAATGGTAGATAGCTCTTGTGCTGGGGAATAAGTGACGTAGGTTTGGGCCCCCTAGCGGATTGCTCTGGAACTGCAGGGGCATTTCTTTAATATTATACAAAAGAGGATAATTCAAGAACCGGTTGACGGATCGTCATGATTTTTGGCATGCAGGTAGCTTACGTGATGTTAAACATGATCATGGGGCAATTATGCAAATATTGATATAATTTGCATAATTTATGAGGAAATTCTATAAATCTGTTGCATTACATGATAGGACTATTCAAACTTGTGACATATGTAATTGAGAACGAGAGAAACACAGGCAGATGTTGATTACGTAAATGAATACTTAATTTGCATAATTAATGACAAAATATTATAATTAAATAATAGTAACTGCCTGGAATGTCAAACTTGGGGTACATGTATTTGAAACTTATCTGAAGATGAACATTATTAAACATAACTTATTCAAATAAGACCTCATTTGCATGATTTATGAGGAAAAGCTAGAGTGGCATTTTTGGTCAAGATTATACCGTCTATTGGTGGAGAATATGATCAACTAATTATAGTTCATGGAAATGAGGATATGCTACAGTCACGAATTTTGCATGGTAGATAGCTCTTGGGCTCAAGGATAAGTGACGTAAGGTTGGGCCTCCTAGCAGCTTGTTCTGGAATTGCAGGAGCATTTATTAAAAAGTGTTTTGTTTAATTGGAAAAACTGAAGAACCGGTTGACGGATTGTAGTGATTATTGGTACGTGAATAGCTCGAGTGATGTTTGACATAATCAAAGGACAATTATGCAGATATGGATCTTATTTACATAATTGATAAAGGGATTCTATACATCTGGTGCGATCCATCATAGGACTACTCACAAATGTGACATGTACTTGAGAAAGGGAGAGTGAAAATTGACAAATCAAATTCTGCAAATAAAACATAATTTGCATAGGTGATTAGAAAAGTGAATAATTAATCAGTGGTAATTGGCCTAAATTTTATCTACAATCTACAGTCTACAATCACCAAATTATAGTGGTAAATGAGTCCAGTGCTGACAAGTAAGTGACAGAAATCTGTGCCTACAGATATAGTACGTTGCAGTACAGAGCAGAATGACATAAGCTTTGTTTTCAAAACACAGCTGCATGAAATACTAGGTTTTAAATTTGCCGTACAAAGGCCTGTGGCCCTGTGGCACATATAGGTCAGATTGTATGTTGGGCTTCAGGCTGTCCCAGAGGGGTAAGGTCATCAATCAATCGGTGTAGCTTGCACTCGCTCACAGGTGTTTCTCGTTAGAGGAAGTGCCTGCTTGACAGCTGAAAGCTGGGGTTTCCCCCTGACATGTCCCGCACATCTGTTTTTCCTGCACAATGCGCGATTGCAGACTGTTGCATCAGCCAAATGGTAGTTTTAGCAAACAGAGTTCTTCTTTCATGAGAGCTTTTCAACCCCAAGTCGTGACTTCTCGTGAGAAGAGGCTTCAAAAGAGGATGACTAGTGAGTGTAACTTCTCAACACAATCATGGTGAATGAGAAGAGGCTATTCAGTTCAAATGAGGATGACTGGTGAGTAAAACGTAAGGTTGTGTTGTACATTTCAACCTCCTCTGTGGGGCCTGGACTGTTAAAGGCATTGTTTGACGGGAAGAGGGAATTCACTATGGTTTCAAGTGTGCAGGAGAATCAATGCTATTTTGAGAAAAATATCTACCGAATAACGCCCGAATGTCTTATCTGCATTAGCACAAAAAAAAAAACAACCAAATTTAAAGGTACATTGTACATATTGGATTCCTCTCTTCTACGTGACATACGGTAATACTTCTAACAGGCGGCCTGAGTAAACATTCCTCTGTTAGAGAAAGGTTTTAGATCTAGGTGCAATTGGGAAAGTCAAGAAGTTACTAAGCCTTCTGTAGGAATTCCTTTGTGGCCCAGTGTGGATGATCTTCACATTTTACCGCTGCTTGTAAACTAGTCTAAGTTTCACTTGAGATTGAATGGTTTTTGCATGCACGAAAGCGTAAGTGAAAAATATGCCTCGGCCAAGATTTTGCAAGATACATGGTCAGTTCTGTCAATATAGAAAAGGTTATTACTTATTCCAATCAGACATGAAGTTCAGCACTTGACCTTGATATTTCAGTGCATAATCTTTATTTTTAAGGAAGGCGCCAACTTTAAACAAAGTAAAGCTACATATAACTCTCCAGTTCTCTAGATGAGCAGGTGACAATTTTGCTGTTTCCCATGAGCTCTACTTTTTCTGTAAAATACACACTTTGCATATTCAAACAAAATACTTAATTTCTTACAGCAGCACTACTAGGAACGTCAGGAGACCAAGATTTTAACTGAACAAAGAAGTCTGCTGCCAATAGAAACATCAAAGTATAACTATGCCCAGGTCAAGGCGCAAAAGTGTAGATCAGAGGAAAAGGATGGTCTCTGCATACAATAAAAGGCAGAGATTGCACGAGACATCAGATGTATCTGATAAAAGACGCATGTCTGACCGGGAAAGAAAGAAAAAACAGAGATTGAATGAGACGCCAGACACTGCTGAGAAAAGACGCGTGTCTGACAGGGAGACAAAGAAGAGAAAGAGATTGAACGAGACGCCAGACACTGCTGAGAAAAGACGCGTGTCTGACAGGGAGACAAAGAAGAGAAAGAGATTGAACGAGACGCCAGACACTGCTGAGAAAAGACGCGTGTCTGACAGGGAGACAAAGAAAAGAAAGAGATTGAATGAAACGCCAGAAGTTGCTCAGAAAAGACGCATTTCTAACAGGCAAGCCATAAAAAAACGCAGAGAAGAAGAGGCTGTAGAAGCAGCTGAGAAGCGTCGCACATTAAATAGAGTTGCCATGCAAACACAGAGAAAACAAGCTACACATGAAATTGTTGAGGCAGGACGGGCAGCTGCAAGGGCTCGAATGAAGAAAAAAAGAAGAGAGGAACAAAGCAAGGACATGGCAATTGAAGACTGTGCTGCCTGCTTCAGGTCGAGAATAGCTGAAGGGCCCATTTATGCTTGCATATCATGCTGCCGGCTGCTATACAGAAGTACAGTCGTGGAAATGAAGGTTGACAATTACCCGACAAACGAAACAACAAAGGGCATACTAAAGTCTAAATCTCTTAGTACATGTACATGGCAAACTAATGGCAAGTCCTGGGTTTGCCAGACTTGCCATAAATCCCTTAAGAAAGGAGAACTCCCAACCCAGTCATGGTTTAATAACCTTGACCTTGCCTCTGTACCTCCTGAATTGCAAGGTCTCCGGCCCTTAGAGTTGAGATTGATCAGCCAACGAATACCATTTATGAAACTGGTGGCATTGCCCCGAGGAGGACAGAAGGCCATTCACGGAAGTGCAGTAAATGTACCCTCTAAATTGCAGTCAGTGGTATCTCTATTGCCAAGATTACCAGAAGCTGCTCAAGTGGTAGCACTGAAACTGAAAAGGAAACTATCTTACAAAGGCCATTACATGCATGAGTACGTCAGGCCTCAAAGAGTAATGCATGCGTTAGAGTGGTTGAAGAAGAACAACCCACTGTACAAGGATGTTTCAATTTCTGCTGACTGGGAACGGCAATGGAGAAACCAAGACTGTGATTTATGGGAGGCCATGACAGCAAATGGTTGTAAGGATCCGGAGATAAGGGAGAGTTTGCCTGCATGTCCACCATCTCCATGTCCACCATCTCCATGTCCACCATCTCCATGCCCACCATCTCCATGTCCACCATCTCCATGCCCACCGTCTCCATGCCCACCGTCTCCATGCCCACCCTCTCCATGCCCACCGTCTCCATGCCCACCGTCTCCATGCCCACCGTCTCCATGCCCACCGTCTCCATCTCCATGCCCACCATCTCCATGCCCACCATCTACTGCTGATGGCTACCAGATTCTGAAAGATTTAGCAAGGAGGCGAAATCTTGAGATCAGGGATGTGCCAGGGGATGGAGACTGTTTCTTTCATGCTGTCTCTGTATCGCTTCCAGCAGCTGGTGTGCAAGCTATCCCTGGTCCCGAGTTAAGAACACAGCTAATCAACTACCTGGAGACCACAGAGTACAAAGAATATTACTCAGGTTTCCTTACAGATCCAGTTCCTGCCAGATCCAGGCCAACGCCAACATGCAACACGAATCAAGATCAACGGTTTCAATCATACATTCATGGATTGCGAAATGGGGAATGGGCCGATTTTCTGGTAGTTCACGCTCTTGCTAACATGCTAAATATCAATATCAAAGTCATCAACACCATCACACCCGACTGGCCGGTTGATGTTCATCCTCTACTGCAGAGAAGCCAGAACACAATTACAATAGGGCAGATTGGCGAGCTACATTTTGTGGCCTTGCAGGATGCTGGTGTCGAAGTTACCGAAGACTCAGAAACAGAGTCTGAAAATGAGGAAGATGAGGAAGATAGGGTTGCTTTTCAGGAAACAAGCAAACTACGGGGTCTTCCTTATGACACCCTACTACAGGAAGAACAAGTTCCCAATGGCGACAATATATACTCTGTTGCACCAGGGGAGAATCAAACACCCTGCGCTTTCTTCACTGATGATAGATTTGAAGAGCTCGCCAATCCAT